CGGAGCATGGACATACATGATTGTTATTTATGTTGGTGCGTTCAGAGCAAGGACATACATGAGTGTTATTTATATTGATACGTTCAGAGCAAGGACATACATGATTGTTATTTATGTTGATACGTTCAGAGCAAGGACATACATGATTGTTATTTATATTGATACGTTCAGAGCAAGGATATACATGATTGTTATTTATGTTGATACGTTCAGAGCAAGGACATACATGATTGTTATTTATGTTGATACGTTCAGAGCAAGGACATACATGATTGTTATTTATGTTGGTGCGTTCAGAGCAAGGACATACATGATTGTTATTTATATTGATACGTTCAGAGCAAGGACATACATGATTGTTATTTATGTTGGTGCGTTCAGAGCAAGGACATACATGATTGTTATTTATATTGATACGTTCAGAGCATGGACACACATGATTGTTATTTATATTGATACTTTCAGAGCAAGGACATACATGATTGTTATTTATGTTGATACGTTCAGAGCAAGGACATACATGATTGTTATTTATGTTGATACATTCAGAGCAAGGACATACATGATTGTTATTTATGTTGATACACGCTGCAATGATTGTTATTTATGTTGATACATTCAGAGCAAGGACATACATGATTGTTATTTATGTTGATACATTCAGAGCAAGGACATACATGATTGTTATTTATGTTGATACACGCTGCAATGATTGTTATTTATGTTGATACATGCCGCAATGATTGTTTTTTATGTTGATACATTCAGAGCAAGGACATACATGATTGTTATTTATGTTGATACATTCAGAGCAAGGACATACATGATTGTTATTTATGTTGATACATTCAGAGCAAGGACATACATGATTGTTATTTATGTTGATACATTCAGAGCAAGGACATACATGATTGTTATTTATGTTGATACATTCAGAGCAAGGACATACATGATTGTTATTTATGTTGATACATTCAGAGCAAGGACATACATGATTGTTATTTATGTTGATACATTCAGAGCAAGGACATACATGATTGTTATTTATGTTGATACACGCTGCAATGATTGTTATTTATGTTGATACATGCCGCAATGATTGTTTTTTATGTTGATACATTCAGAGCAAGGACATACATGATTGTTATTTATGTTGATACATTCAGAGCAAGGACATACATGATTGTTATTTATGTTGATACATTCAGAGCAAGGACATACATGATTGTTATTTATGTTGATACATTCAGAGCAAGGACATACATGATTGTTATTTATGTTGATACATTCAGAGCAAGGACATACATGATTGTTATTTATGTTGATACATTCAGAGCAAGGACATACATGATTGTTATTTATGTTGATACATGCTGCACTGTTATCGCCCGTGGGTGATGGTGACTGATGCCGCCTGTTGTTATGGAGCGTTAGCCAGGTGCAGAATTAATTAACATGTTTAAAGCACTAGAGCACGATCTGATATGTTTAGAATCAATACAGGAGTGAGACATGAATGCATACTCTTACCTCTCTTAGTTACTGTATACATAGACAGTGTATTAAAAGGAGCCAGCTTCAAAGCAGTCGACCTAGAAAATCAGAAAGTGATTACTTTCTGAAGGAAGAATTAGATCCACTTACAATCAACGAGCTACTACAATGAGGAGAGTAGACTGCAAGAACATCTGAACAGGTTAAGGTCAACATGTAAACGATATAACATGAAAATGAGTACTACTTAAGCTGAAGTAATGCAGATCAGCAGAGTTCCTAGTCAGCTACATACCGGGTTAAACGGTACTTGTCTGAAGCAAGTTAAACAACTTGAATATCTACGAAGTATATTCTCGGAAAAGAAGATGAGAAATATTGACATCTTAAAAGATCTGAACATCGAGGAAGATTGCCTAATAAACAGCTTCCTTTCTCGAAAGCTGAAATATTTTGGTCATATCAAGCGCCACAACGGATTGGAAAAAATTATAGCAGAAGTCATGGTACCAGGAAGGAGGGGCAGGGACGGACTGACACGAAGATGGGCACCGGATATAAGTGACTCCTTGAGTGTGAAAGTTCATGAGGCGGGGAAACTAGCAAGAGACCGAGTTTCTTACAGGCAGACTGTGATGAGAGCGACGTTCTGCAAAGGACCTGCTACATGATGATGATATTCTCGGAAGATGGGAGAATAGACCGAAAAACAGAAACAAGATGCCAACGAGCCAGTGCACTTATATACCAGCTGACACCGTTTTAACGACAGGCAAACATAAGTATGAGCGCCAAGAAAAAGGTACTAAACAGCACATTCATACCAGCACTGTGCTACCAGTGCCTGACTTGGACATTATCAAAGGCTAACCTACGTAAAATTAACGTCTGTGAAATTAGATACCTGAGAAAAGCCGCCAACTTAACCATCCGAAACAAAGTTAGAAATGATATTATCAGACAGAATGCAGAAACAACATGATGCACCAAATCCATTGAGAAACAGAAGATCAGCTGGTTTGGTCATCCAGTAAGAATATATTTAGAACAACTACCAACGCAGACACCATGCATGAAAAGATCTCAAATGAAAGCAAAAGGCCGTCCAATGAAAAGATGAATGACATTAAAGAGCTTCTACATCTATACGGAATGACAATAGGTAATTATGATCATCAAGCAACGGATCGCAAACTGATCCTTCCCATAACGCTTAACGGCACAAGTGGAAATTTATGATGATGACGATGATAATGATGATAATGACGATGATAATGATGATGATGACGATGATAATGATGATGATGACTAAAACACAAATCCCGTCAACTGAGATAGACATATCACAGTCCATTGTCTTGCTCTAGCCAAGCCTGCCCCAATCTCCAAGCTCAACAACTCGCTAGGCTCAAAGACTCCCAGGCTCAGAGACTCCCCAGGCCTAAGGACTCTCAGGCTTAAGGTTGAAAGTGATGCTGGCGGCGGTGATGATGGTGATAGTGATGAGGGAAGTGATAGAAGAGTACTAAATGCAGTATAATCCGACTGTAGTGCGTAGCAGATTAACACAGCGCCGCCGCCAAGGTGATACTTCTGTTAACATGTGAGCGGCACTGCAGATATACAAAAAGAAACATACACACAGAAACATGCACACAGAAACATGCACATGGAAACATACATACAGGAACATGCATATGGAAACATACACACAGAATCATACACACAGAAACATACACACATCAACACACGCACAAAAACATACTCTCAGAAACATACGCACAGAAACATGCACATGGAAACATACACGCAGAAACATACACACAGAAACATACACACAGAAACATACACACAGAAACATACATACAGAAACAGACACATAGAAACAAACACAGACCAAAAACACAGAAACATACTCACAGAAACATACACACAGAAACATACACACAGAAACATACTCACAGAAACATACACACAGAAACATACACACAGAAACATACACGCAGGAACATGAACACAGAAACATGCACAGAGAAACATACACACAGAAACATACACATAGAAAAATACACATAGAAATATACACATAGAAACATACACACAGAAACATACACACAGAAACATACATACAGAAACATACATACAGAAACATGCACACAGAAACATACACACAGAAACATACACATAGAAACATACACAAAGAAATATACACATAGAAACATACACACAGAAACATACACACAGAAACATACACACAGAAATATGCACATAGAAATATACACATAGAAACATACACACAGAAACATACACACAGAAACATACACACAGAAACATACATACAGAAACATAAACACAGAAACATACAACACAGAAACATGCACATAGAAACATACACATAGAAACATACACACAGAAACATACACATAGAAACATACACATAGAAACATACACACAGAAACATACACACAGAAACATACACACAGAAACATACATACAGAAACATACACACAGAAACATATACACAGAAACATCTACACAGAAACATACACACAGAAACTTACACACAGAAACATACACACAGAAACATACATACAGAAACATAGACACAGAAACATACACATAAAAACATACACATAGAAACATCCACACAGAAACATACACACAGAAACATACACACAGAAACATACACACAGAAACATACACACACAAACATACACACACAAACATACACACATAAACATACACACACAAACATACACACACAAACATACCCATATAACGTACAGAACAAGATTACAATTTCTTTTGTGTTGACCAGTTTAATTGTTTGATAGAAGTATTTGAGTGTTAAGAGCATTGTATTATTTTTAGGTGGAAACTGTCTCACCATGCTGAGGTGAACGGCTGAGGTGAACGGCTGAGGTGAACGGCTGAGGTGAACGGCTGAGGTGAACGGCTGAGGTGAACGGCTGAGGTGAACGGCTGAGGTGAACGGCTGAGGTGAACGGCTGAGGTGAACTGTTTTACTGTCCGGTCGCTCATTAGCATTTCAGATACAGTATTCAATTTTTCAGGATAGACTAAAATCCCATAAACTGGAAGGTTCTAATGCTTGTATAACATGAATTTGACAGGCTGGTTATAACAGGGGGAGAAGAGAGAAAGTTCATCCCCCACCTTCACCACCCTCATGCATTTACCTGCACGTCTGTTTATAAATGCATCTAGCCATCGATTTACTTTCCTCTGCCTACCTACCTTCTTTTGCCTACCTACCTTCCTCTGCCTACCTACCTGGCTCTGCATACCTACCTTCCTCTGCCTACCTACCTGGCTCTGCATACCTACCTTCCTCTGCATACCTACCTTCCTCTGCCTACCTTCCTGACTGTTTGTCTGTGTATAAACTTGTCTCTCCCTCGCCTCCCATTCCCCCCCCCCCCCACTTTCCACCCCTATCTTGTCTAACTGCGACTCCCTGATGTTGCCTCCATCCTAATAACCTGTTACTGTACCAGCCTGACTTTCATCTCTGCAGAGTCCAGGGACACGTAGCTACTCATCGCCTCCCAGATGATACCCTGCTCGCTGTCCTCTGCCCACAGTCCGTTCAGGTTGGACCCGTAACAACTTTTATACCACCAAGCTCCGTGAGAACGTTCTGCACAGTTCACAGCCGAGGTGTCGTGATCTCGGTCAAAGGTAGAGAAAGCTTGGCCGTTGTGGAGGCTAAAACTGTCGCCTGACGTTCCCGAGTAGCCGCTCACTTCCAGGTAGTAGCTGAAAACTTCGCTAGCCACTTTCACGTTGGAATAGTGGGCAAAATATGGCTTGCCTTGATACTGCAGGTCGAATCGGAGCTCCGTGTATCCCTGGGGATGTCAAGAACGTCAGATACAAAAACCATCAACGTATAAATAATCGATGTGGAAACTTAAACTATGAAGATGGAAATATCAGGTGATGTAAAAATTAAACCATATGCACATAGAAATGTAGGAGCCGTTGTGGTGTAGCGGCTAGAAACTTACCTGCGGATCAAAAGGTCGTCGGTTGGGGTCCTGACAGGAGTAGACTTTTCCCCCCATGTATCTGATTGTACAAGTTAGGTTGTCTGACAATGTCCTGACTTTTCCAATGCCCTAATTATGTTTCCTGACAATATCCTGACTTATCTGGTGGCTGTAGTTATGTTGTCTGACAATATCCTGACTTATCTGGTGGCTGTAGTTAGGTTGTCTGACAATATCCTGACTTATCTGGTGGTTGTAGTTAGGTTGTCTGACAATATCCTGACTTATCTGGTGGCTGTAGTTAGGTTGTCTGACAATATCCTGACTTATCTGGTGGCTGTAGTTAGGTTGTCTGACAATATCCTGACTTATCTGGTGGCTGTAGTTATGTTGTCTGATAATATCCTGACTTATCTGGTGGCTGTAGTTATGTTTTCTGACAATATCCTGACTTATCTGGTGGCTGTAGTTAGGTTGTCTGACAATATCCTGACTTATCTGGTGGCTGTAGTTAGGTTGTCTGACAATGTCCTGACTTATCTGGTGGCTGTAGTTATGTTGTCCGACAATTTCCTGACTTATCTGGTGGCTGTAGTTATGTTGTCTTACAATATCCTGACTTATCTGGTGACTGTAGTAATGTTGTCTGACAATATCCTGACTTATCTGGTGGCTGTAGTTATGTTGTCTGACAATATCCTGACTTATCCGGTGGCTGTAGTTATGTTGTCTGACAATATCCTGACTTATCTGGTGGCTGTAGTTATGTTGTCTGATAATATCCTGACTTATCTGGTGGCTGTAGTTTTGTTGTCTGACAATATCCTGACTTATTTGGTGGCATAGTTATGTTGTCTGACAAAATTCTGACTTAACATGGTCTCTCAGTCGTCGTAACACAACACAAGAGAGACCTGGTGGTGAGATCAGAACACTATTTTTTCTAGGTCGTTGCATTTTCACCCTGTTCAGTAAATGTTGCATTCTTGACACAAATGGTCGTTTTGAAGCTGTTTTAACTGTCAGCCCATTAAAGAAGGCATTGTTCCAATGTTGGCCGTTACTGGAGTCAAATGTTATGTATACCAAGCTAAAAGACGAAACGAACAACTCTGACCTGACCAAATACATGCTGGATTACATGTAAGGTAAGGTTGTGGATGACCAAGATAATGTGCATGACTACCTGTAAGGTAAGGTTGTGGATGACCGAGGTAATGTACATGACTACCTGTGAGGTGAGGTTGTGGATGACCAAGGTAATGTACATGACTACCTGTTACATGAGGTTGTGGATGACCGAGGTAATGTACATGACTACCTGTTACATGAGGTTGTGGATGACCAAGGTAATGTACATAACTACCTGTGAGGTGAGGTTGTGGATGACCAAGGTAATGTACATGACTACCTGTGAGGTGAGGTTGTGGATGACCAAGGTAATGTTCATGACTACCTGTTACATGAGGTTGTGGATGACCGAGGTAATGTACACGACTACCTGTTACATGAGGTTGTGGATGACTAAGATAAATTACATGACTACCTGTTAGATGAGGTTGTGGATGACCAAGATAATGTACACGACTACCTGTTACATGAGGTTGTGGATGACCGAGGTAATGTACATGACTACCTGTTAGATGAGGTTGTGGATGACCAAGATAATGTACACGACTACCTGTTACATGAGGTTGTGGATGACTGAGGTAATGTACATGACTACCTGTTAGATGAGGTTGTGGATGACCAAGATAATGTACACGACTACCTGTTAGATGACGTTGTGGATGACCAAGATAATGTACATGACTACCTGTAGGGTGCGGTTGTGGATGACCAAGATAATGTACATTATTACCTGTAAGGTGAGGTTGTGGATGACCAAGATAATGTACATGACTACCTGTAGGGTAAAGTTGTGGATGACTAAGATAATGTACATGATTACCTGTAGGGTGAGGTTGTGGATGACCAAGATAATGTACATGAATACCTGTAGGGTAAAGTTGTGGATGACCAAGATAATGTACATGATTACCTGTAAGGTGAGGTTGTGGATGACCAAGATAATGTACATGACTACCTGTAGGGTAAAGTTGTGGATGACCAAGATAATGTACATGACTACCTGTAGGGTAAAGTTGTGGATGAATAAGATAATGTACATGATTACCTGTAAGGTGAGGTTGTGGATGACCAAGATAATGTACATGACTACCTGTAGGGTAAAGTTGTGGATGACTAAGATAATGTACATGATTACCTGTAAGGTGAGGTTGTGGATGACCAAGATAATGTACATGACTACCTGTAGGGTGCGGTTGTGGATGACCAAGATAATGTACATGACTACCTGTAGGGTGCGGTTGTGGATGACCAAGATAATGTGCACGCATTACCTGTGAGGTGAGGTTGTGTATTACCAAGATAATGTACATAAATACCTGTGACGTCAGAGTGTGGATGACCAAGATAGTATACTCGACTACCTATGAGGTGAGGTTGTCAATGACAAAGTTAATGTTCACAGAATACCTATGAGGTGAGGTTGTGGATGACCAAGATAATGTACACGGATTACCTGTGAGGTGAAGTTCTGGATGTCGATGATAATGTACACGACTACCTGTAAGGTAAGGTTGTGAATGACAAAGATAATGTACAGGGATTACCTGTGAGGTGAGGTTCTGGATGTCGATGATAATGTACACGATTACCTGTAAGGTAAGGTTGTGAATGACAAAGATAATGTACACAGATTACCTGTGAGGTGAGGTTGTGAAGGACGTCAAGCCCGATCCAGAGGTCGGTGTCAGGGGTTCCAAACCCATTTCTGTAGTCTGCCCAGACCCTGTAGAAGTCCACGTTACCTCTTGTTCGTCTCTGGGGGATTACACACAGAATAGGTGTCAGCGGTTCAGGAATAGGTCGTGGTTTACATTTTAACTTCGTTGGGGCTGACTACACAGATAAATATGCATAAGGCAGGCTGAAAGACAGGCAGACAGACAAGCAAGCAGGCAGGCAGACCTACAAGCAGGCAGGCAGACAGACAAGCAGGCAGGCAGGCAGACAGACAGACAAGCAGGCAGGCAGGCAAGCAGACAGACAAGCAGACACATTGACATACACATAGATCCATGATACCTTGTGATCCTGCCGATGACTACACATCTCAAGATCCATGATACTTTGTTAAGGGTGGTCTTACAAATAACTACACATCTCACGAACCATGATACCTTGTCAGAGTTGATCCTGCAGATAACTACACATCTCACAAACTATGATACCATGGTATAGGTGGTCCTACAAATAACTACACATCCCACGAACCATGATACCTTGTCAGAGGTGGTCCTACAGATGACTACACATCTCATGATCCATGATACCTTGTTAAATGTGATTCTGCAGACAACTACACATCTCACGAACCATGATACCTTGTTAAAGGTGGTCCTGCAGATAACTACACATCACAAGATCCGTGATACCTTGTTAAGGTGGTCGTACAAATAGCTACACATCTCACGAACCATAATACCTTGTCAAATGTGATTCTGCAGGTAACTACACATCTCACGAACAATGATACCTTGTCAGAGGTGATCCTGCGGATAACTACACATCTCAGGATCCATGATACCTTGTCAGAGGTGATCCTGCAGATAACTGCACATCTCACGAACCATAATACCTTGTCAAATGTGATTCTGCAGGTAACTACACATCTCACGAACAATGATACCTTGTCAGAGGTGATCCTGCGGATAACTACACATCTCAGGATCCATGATACCTTGTCAGAGGTGATCCTGCAGATAACTACACATCTCAAGATACATGATACCTTGTCAGAGGTGATCCTGCAGATAACTACACATCTCAAGATCCATGATACCTTGGTATAGGTGATCCTGTAGATAACTACATATCTCATAAACCATAATACCTTGTCAGAGGTTATCCACAGATAACTACACATCTCAAGATCCATGATACCTTGTCAGAGGTGTAAATACACATCTCATGAGCCACGATGCTTTGACAGAGTTGATCCACAGATAACTACACATCACAAGATCCATGATAACTTGTCAGAAGTGATCCACAGATAACTACACATCTCATGAACCATGATGCTTTGTCAGAGGTGATCCACAGATAACTACACAACTCAAGATCCATGATATCTTGTCAGATGTGATCCACAGATAACTACACATCTCAAGATCCATGACACCATGTCAAAGGTGATTCTGCAGGTAACTACACATCTCAAGATCCATGATGCCTTGTCAGAGGTGATCCTGCAGATAACTACACATCTCAATATCCATTATACCTTGTCAGAGGTAATCCTGCAGTGGTCAAACCGACAAGAGCAAGGACAGGTAGACAGTGGATCTAACGGGTAATAAATGAGTTTAAGGTCGAGATGTTTCCATTTTTGATGTGCCTATCAACTTAAGGGGTGACTTTATTACCTTATACGTTATTATCGCATATGGTTTCCCATCCCTCTTTTTATCTCCCTACCGCGCTTTCTCTCTCTCTCTCTCTTTCTCTCTCTCTCTCTCTCTCTCCCTCTCTCTGCCTGTCTCTCTCTATCTCTGTCTGTTAGTCTCTCTCTCTCTCTGTCTCTTTCTGTCGTATAAGGATGACGATCTGTCTGCACAAACCCCTGTTCCTTGAATGAGAACACTCCTTTTGTTCCACGGGGTTAAATATGTTAGTGATAATGCCGATGATGTTGACGACGACGATAATGATGATGGTGATGATGATGATGATGTTAAGATACTGATAATGGTGGTAATGATGATGATGATGTTACGATAATGATGATAATGAGAGAAATATATCATGTGAAAGAAAACGAGCGATGGAACAATCGGGCAAGCAAGGTACGAGTGCATGTGGGGAGAGACCTAATTTCATCACTGGTGTACAGACTAGGCTAGTGGGGAGAGACCTGATATCATCACTTGTGTATGGACTAGGCTAGTGGGGAGAGACCTGATATCATCACTGGTGTACAGACTAGGCTAGTGGGGAGAGACCTGATATCATCACTGGTGTACAGACTAGGCTAGTGGGGAGAGACCTGATATCATCACTGGTGTACAGACTAGGCTGGTGGGGAGAGACCTGATATCATCACTGGTGTACAGACTCGGCTAGTGGATAATGACGAATCTCTGACGCTAGTAAAGTAAAGTAAATGACCCTTTTTCACGCTCTAATGATTATCGGGCATTAAGGGCTAGACCCATATTTTATAGACTAATCGGCACTTGGTGGGTGATGTGGTCAGCATCACGGCGACCGCCTTTACTTCCTAGGAGTCCACCTGTACCCATTCAAGGCTAGGTCGACTTGGTAGCCAAGGTCATTTTAGAAGGAATCGAAGGTCCGGTACCGCCAAGACCTGAACTCACCACCTTCCGATCCGCAGGCGAGAGTCCAACCGCTACACCACGGGAACTGCCAACTGTAAGTAAAGCATGGTGTGATAGCAATGTAGAACTCACCTGTACAGTGACCCAACCGCCACCATCGGTCTCGGTGTCACACAGGGCAGGTATGTAACCCCATAACTGGAACACTTGTCTGGGGTTGGTAGATGACATACCTTTGAAGCAATCCAGCTGGGTTTCCTGCAGACAGACACGGCGAACAAACAATGGCAAGGCTCAAGAGGGTCCTAACACTACAGCTTGAAATGGAAGAACAGAATAGAACACGTTCATTCATTCAACTATCAATGTCAGACAGGGCTGGATTCAGACCATGTGATGTCCTAACAACTTACAAAATGTTGGTGCCATCCAACCTTCCTTACCTTTTTGCCCCCCCCCCCCCCACCCCGTCTCTGAGTAATCTTTACAATATTATAGGCCCCTAGACAAACCAAAATGCTGAGGCTCCTACCACAACCACCCACAGGAATAAAGTCCAAATGGTCACTTGACATAGACATATATTCAAATGGACGCTATGCTTGTGGGGTCCACCGGACAACCTCCCAGTGGGTACATGTCATCAGAAGACAACGGTGCCTCAGTTTCCGTCATGTGCGATACACAAAACAATAAACCATTGAACAAAACTGTATTTATCGAAATGACTCAAGGATTCCAGTCAGATGGAAAATGATGTCTACTTGTGTATTCTTCCATTTTATTCATATTTGAAACATCTAACTTTTTTTTTTTTATTATTGCAGAGACTTTGACCAGATCCTCAAGTGTAATCCTTTGTGACACATTCCCTCCTATAAATAACAGAGACAAAGTATCCAGCCTGCCTCATTCCATCGTTGTTCTTATGTGATTTTTAAAAAATATTTCAAGAGAGAAAATTAAGCTTAGTACTAAAGTTATTGAACTTTTTTGGCGTGCCCCCTTCTTTTGTGACGCTCTTAGCACGAGCTTACTGTGCCTAATGGTTAATCCAGCCCTTATGTCAGAGCACCGAACACGATGTCCGCTGTAAGAACAGTGATAGAATCAGAATTGGGTTGGCGAAGATTGCACTTGTTTAACATATCTGCATGCCCGGCTCTCTAGTGTAGTTGGCTAAACCGGATTGCGCGGTGACCGGGTGACCAACTCCTTGTGGTCCGGGTTCAATCCCGGGGGTAGGCAGGAAAGCCACATTTTCTCCCAGATTTACGGTATTTACAATGGAATCAAGGCCTAAAGGTTGCGATATCCATAATACCGAGCCTAAGGGTTAACAACTCATGGCTTCTGGATACTAAAACAAACAAACAACATAACTGCATATTTTCTTTTGTTGATTCCCTGTCCTCCTCCTCCTGTGTTTTCTACCACGCAATTTGAATTTCTTGAAAAATTTCTCGAGACGTGGAACCTTTCTTTGCTGACTGACTACTCAACTATCCCATCATCCATGTTCTGTCAACAGCAGCACGTTGTTTACAACACATGAAACATCAACTATACCTAACACCTGAAATTACCATTTTCATGAACAAAATCAGTCGCTGATAATATCTTTCGCACTCACTTTTTGGAACAGTGAAAACGTCTATCTCCTTCACGCATCAGACGATTTGAAAGGGAAAAACCGCTATTTCCTTGCTCATACGAGATCAGTAAAAATGTAAATGACAAACTGCGAGAACCCACCTGTGGTTTGTCGATGGATGAATTCGCCTGGGATTCTAGTGTGTCCAAGCGTTGAACCACCTGATCTAGGGTGCTCTTTAGGGCCAGATTATGGTTTGCCAGTAGATTCATCTTGCCTTCGAGTACGGTGTTATTTTGTGTCAACTCGTTCACCTTGCTTTCCAGGGCGGCGTTCTCTTGTGCCAGTGCCGCTAGAGCTGTCTGTGTGTTGGAGGTCAGGTTTTGAACCCGCGCCATCAGCAATATCAGCTGGTCCTCCAGCAAAGCTACAGAAAATGATCATATTAAACGAACTCTGAACCGGTGAATATTATTATTACTACAGACCGGTCAGATAGTATGACTTTATGATAGTTGCTAGTTATCACAACAGACCAGACAGATATAACGACTTCATGATAGTTGCTAGCTATCACAACAGACCAGTCAGAAAGCATAACTTAATGGTAGTTACTAGCATCAAAACAGACCTTAGTCAGACAGCATGACTTTATGGTAGTTTTTAGCTATCACAACAGGCTTCAGTCAGATAGCATGACTTTATGGTAGTTACTAGCTATCACAACAGACTTCAGTCAGATAGCATGAATGTATGGTAGTTACTAGCTTTCACAACAGACTTCAGTCAGATAGCATGACTATATGGTAGTTATAAGCTATCACGACAGAATTCAGTCAGCCAGTCTGCCTTTGTGACAGCAACTAGCTTTCACGACATAATTCAGTCAGCCAATCTGTCTTCATGATAGTAACTAGCTATCACGACAGAATTCGGTCAGCCAGTCTGCCTTTATGATAGCAACTAGCTATCACGACAGAATTCAGTCAGCCAGTCTGCCTTTGTAATAGTAACTAGCTATCACGACAGAATTCGGTCAGCCAGTCTGCCTTTATGATAGCTACTCACTACCACGACAGACTTCAGCCAATGTGTGTGACACAAGGACAAAGACAATGTGTCTTCCGTGTACTTTATAGCTGATTACAGTAACAGTTTTACGAATCAAACAATAATTAATAGATTTCCCGTTGAAGCGACCTGATTACAGGCATGGGTCTGAACCCAGACCTTAAAGCAATGTCAGACCAGCCAGCTATTAAGATCTGCACAATGGAAAGCGACAGACCAGTTTACAATTTGTGGGAAAGACAATCTTGTGTGCTGATAAAACCAAGGAAGGTAAATTTGTGAATAATGTAGTCTTTGTGTTAGAAAATGCGGTATTTATTATATTTAGACATGGCTACATTGAGAGATGCTTCCAGAATATGCACCCATGGTGTTGGAGAAAAAAGAGATTTGTGACTTGGTCAGATGTTAGCATGTGTGGGCGTATGTTTCAATGAATTTCTGTTATCTAAATTACATACCAAATCACATAATTAGGTACTTTAACAACCTGTTGTGGAAAAGCAACTTAAAAACGGACAATTGAGTTTAGTGAAAACTGTGAAGGAAACGTGACTGACAGAACCCCCAGTCCCAACCAGTCCGTCCTAATGGTCTACCGAGGCCTGGACTTGGTCAGCGACGTGAAACTCTACAACAGTGGCCCCTCCGTCAGTGCACCGGGCAAAGGGAAGCGTTTGACATGCCCCTCTGAAAGTCTCAGATCACCAGAAATGAATTGCATCGTATTCAGAATCACAACTCCCAGTCTTTCCTAGGATTTACATGCAAACGAAAAACATGCACCACGGGACATTTCTAATGCCAGGATAACTACTTCAGTAACAGATTTTGTGGACAGTAAACGCTACTGCAGTCTCTCGGACTGTCCCATCGCGGCTGCTACTTGAACATTTGATCATCTTTGCGATATCCAGAAGAAATTCCGTGTCTACTTCTACTTCTTCTGCCATTAACCCCTAACAGGGCCTCAACAAGCTCACTTCAAATCCTATCGTTTGCTGCTGATGTAGCACCCCCCCCCCCGCCCCCGCACGCGCAACCCCCCCCCCCCCCCCCCCCCTCATCCCCCGTTCAGTTGTTAGAAGGCTGTTTTTGCTTTTGTTTGTTGACTTTTCCTTGACTGGTTGCGTGTTGTGCCTAATTTTTTACGGGATGAGGTGGTAGCCAAATGCTAGCCCAACCCTACCCTTTTTTTTTAGCCTATTACGACATGCATGGTAACGTGCATTGTTACTATTCTTGGCTCGCTATGATTCCACTAAAACTAAGTAGAGCGCTATTTACAAATGCACCAAGTGATTAATGAGGTAAATCATTACAGCACCAAGTGATTAATGAGGTAAATCATTACAGCACCAAGTGATTAATGAGGTAAATCATTACAGCACTACGGATAGATGCATAAGTGCTCCAGTCTTCGTATCCAAAGCTTCACACCTGATCCCGCCTGTTTTGTGTTGATTAATCAGGCTTCTTGTGACCTAAATAACACGTTCATGTTTCGCTGCTTCCGGTTGCAGTTCCGTCTACACGAGTCTGGACAGTGATATCGCTGGCTACAATCTAGATAGGGATATTCCTGGCTACTATCTAGACAAGAATATCTCTGCCTACAATCTGGACAGGGATTTCCCTGGCTACAGCAAGACCGACCCTGCAATCACATGTCGATGAAGCTCTAATGCAGAAACAGAGACCAGGAACTATGAACCTTACTACAGTAATATAAAATATGAACAATATATCTTACTGCAGGAGCTGCTGTCCCATGGAGTGGTGCTTTCGATGAGAGAGTCCGGCTGTCCACTGACATTAACAAAGTCCAACTCGCACAGAAGCGATCCCTGCAGACAGTCGGCCACATCCTGGAAACTTAACTCCAGATGTCCTTGACTTCTTGTGATGCTCCCTGTCCCGTTGATGACCTCGACCTTAGACGGGTCAATGTACAGTTCAGGGTCAAACAGGGAGAGAGATGCCAGTTTAACTCTGAAGTTTCCTAAGGTCAGGTTATAAACTGACAGCCCAATGAGAAATGAAATGCGTTGGTCATTCTGACTGACAGTCTGGTCACAGACAAGTTGTGCACAAAACTGGCTCCCTGGTGTGCGGCCAATGGTCAGTTCTAGACCTGCAAGTTCACGAAAGTATGTGGTAGTGGTTATTATCATTGAAGTCTAGTATATGTATATGTTTATTTATGTGTCTCCAGGCGTAACAATAACAATAGTGAGCAGACGAAACCTGCCTCAATGGCTGTATAGGTTAATTGCGTATCCTTTACAGGACGTTGCATAACCAACTACAACAACCTCTGGCTGTTATGTGGTTTTTCTTGGCAAATTCACGTCCAGTTGTTTGCCATTGCTTCCTAGACGGTCGGCTTTCTTGATACCACTGTCGAAACCAACGCAATGCGCTTGTCCCTCAGCTGGGATCGAACCCGGCATCACAGCATTACGAAGCGTTCGCATCGACTTAGCCTCAGAGCAATGGCTGTATGACAAACATTTTTACAATTATTTCCTTGTTTGGGGTTCCGGAGTCCCAATGTGGCACCTTGCTTTGAAGCTTTAGAACTGAAGTGCAGCAGAAAGATTATTCGTATACCGTAGATCATGAAGAAGAAAAAGACATTGACATCCTGCATGATCTGAACATCACGGAGAACTGGCTCGTAAACAGCATCTTCTCCCGAAAGCTGGGGTATTTAGGACATGTCAAGCGACATAATGGTCTGGGGAGAACGCTGATGGGGGCGCAGTTTCCGGAAAACGAGACAGAGGGTGACCATAGCAAAAGTAGATAAGGACATTGAAGATGCATTAACTATGAAAGCACATAGTATTAGAGAATTACCTAGAGAAGAAACGAACGAACGAACTTTATTTTCGAAGGGTTACAAATTGGGCACGCAGGCCAGTCTGACATTCGGCCCTTCTAAGTACTCATTTTTCAGAGTACCAAAACCTTAGATAATTTCAGGGGTCCCATGAAGAGAGCGACGTTTTGTGAAAGACATGCTGATTGTTTGATTGAGTGACTGATTGTCATAGACACATGAGACATAGACAATAATCAGACAAGATTGGAACATTTATTAGCATCAGGGATTTAATATATTTTTTTTTCCAGACACATGAGAGCCTCCATTGTGTAGCGGCTAGACACTCGCCTGCCGATCGGAAGGTCGTGGGTTCGGGTCCTGCCTGAGCCGGACTTTATTCAGAAATGACTATGGCTCTCAGGTCGACCCAGCCTTGAGTTGCTACCAGGTACAGACCTGGGAAGTAAAGGCGGCTGGTTTGATGTTGACCACATCACCCACCAAGTGCCGATTGCTCTATAAAATATAGGTCTAGCCCTATATGCCCAACATGCTTCAAGGCCAAGAAAAGGGACCTGGACTGTATCATGAAAGAAATGCAAAGTGGAGCATGATATGATTAAAAAAAAAAAAATTCCACGGAGTCAAGATGTGAATAAAAGACGTTGGTTTGTGATAGGACACACACTGAGAACCGCCGAGTACAAAATAACTAGAATGTCCTGGCACTGGAACCCACGGTGACATGGACATAAAGACAAATAGAAAAAAAGAAACGCACCAAAAGCAGATATGTGAATTCCTACTCCAAATAGCATCAAATAAAGTGCTACTCTCCACAGAACTATACATTTTTTAATGAGAGCGCTTGCTGTTTAAAGGTTAATTTCTCCAAACAATTATTTAATACTGAATTGACTTTGGTGGCAACGATACGTCTGCGTCAATGACGACTGTTTGTTCAACGAGGAGGCCTGGGGTCTGTCTATTACTATAGTTTTCATGACAAACAGACAAAAAAAAGGTGATGAGAGAAAAAAACGTGCCGATCGCCTTTAATGTGTCGAACGTGTCCTACTCGCCATTTGAG